ACGATTTGTAGCAAGCCTTCCTATGATGATGTTCGCTAGCTGACAGCACCTAGGTGTCCTTCAAGAAGTCAATCGTAACATTGTGACCGAGTATGAGTTGTCCTCGTCCTACATGACGGTGCACCAGCAGGACTCGTCGCAACCGCAGCAGTCACACGACTCGCCGCACTTCGGGGCTGGTGAGGGCTTGATGATAGTCGAGATAGAAGAGGCGACACTGGCAGGCATCTTGATGGTATTCGTGTGGAGGTGATACTGGACGGAGTGTTAGTTATGTAGCTGGTAGCATACCTGGACCACTTACTGTGATAGTCTTGATGGATGTGAAGAGAACCGAGAGCCCAGGAGTCAAACGTGCTGTATTTGTGTGTGTGGGTGCGGTAGGTGAAATCCGTAGATAGCGATGTCAAAAGGTGGTGGGAAGTGAATGTTCCTCTTCGCGGATGTCCACGACCCTTTATATTACTAGGTTGCAGGTCAGCAGACGTGACAGTCTTCCCCAGCTCGATGATTCCAGGATAGTAGCTTCCGTCATTGCGGCCTGCGCGCCTTGTCATTCGACCTCGCCAGTGGCACACATCAAGCCCTGACCCTCAGGCATGCATGCCCATGTTTCAACGTCTGCCAGTTGTCAGGCCTGGAACTGGTCGCTCGGCCCTGCTGCACCGCCTCACCGACGCCGCTATCTCTCGAGCAAACCCAAGATGCAAGTCCGGACGGTGTGACAGATGAAAACGGCCGCGGCTGGGGTGGCTCAGCTTGCTCACGGTCATGTCTCATTGGTTCTGATTGGTGTCACGTAGACGTTTGTCGTAACAATCTGCATTAGAGCATGCCAACCCTTGCGAGGTGCATGCACTGATTGCGTGGCTAAGCTCAACTAAGCTTTGTGGCGCCAATAAATCCCTCACAAAATCAAGGAACAAGCTTTGCCAAGCGGCAGCTGAGAGCTTGGCTGTGAATGTGTCGTGCCGGGCTTTGTGGGTCGGTTCGTCTGCAAGTCCAGTTTAGACACTCGGCTGTGCCACAATCGACGTGGTGTATGGCGTCGTGTTGCAGTGGCTGCGTACCCGTTGGACATGGCGCTGAGGTTCGGCTGAGGCCACGCGTCGTAGCGGTGTCTCGGGTGGTGCTTATCCGCGCTCGACTCTGCGGGCCGATATTAGAGACATGAAGACGCGTACAGTCATGGGAGGGTAAAACTGCGAATCGGTTATAGAGCGTTTATCGCTTCGCGCACATGGTGCGCATCGTTACTAAGTCATGATGAGGGATTCGAGAGGTTGGTGGAGCTGCGATTGAGGCTTCCCCAGCTTCCGGCGATCGCGCCGACTGGCACTAAGAGCGCCCACAGACGTCCCTGACAACTCAACCTCTCCTTTACAATCCCATCGGCACATCCTCTCTGTCCAGCCCACACCATTCGACGCTCCTGGACCACAAGGCTTGTTGTGTATCCACATCTAAACTGTCCTGTGAGCTCTCGACTCTGTTCTTCCCTTCGAAGTACCCCTCCTGCCCATCAAATCTGTCGGCTACTGCCACATCTACGAAAGCGATTGCAGCTTGCTCGACGGTCACCAATCGAGGCTGGAAGTAGCCAATCAACGGCAACAACCAAGTCACGACCGTAGCCATGATCTGAATTGTTCGCGGAACGTGCGGCTGGTGGAACGCCCGCGATGTAATCAGATCCAGAGGATCCACCGCAACCGCGCGGATGGACTCTACATCTTTCTTCTGATGAAACAGTTAGGCTGCAAGCCAAGCAGGGTCTTCGAAAACGGGAGACTTACGGCTTTCAGGCGACGATTGAGCTCGTACATCACCATGATGGAGACCAACTTGCTCACAGCATATCTTTGGAAGCCTCGTCCCAACTCTTCGCCTTCCTTATCAGGTTCTGGATGAACCAATAGTTCCAAATCGTTTGGGATATGAGTTGGATATCCCTTGACGAGGCTTGCTTCCTCCGGTCGATGTGCGCCGCTGCCCGAAAAGACGATACGGCCATGAACTGGGTCCATGGCACTCATGAGCCTGCAACACAAAGCAAAATGTGCAAGATGGTTGACCGCAATCGACATTTCGTATCCGTCTTTCGAATACTTCGGCCCGCCGGACAAATTCCATGTCATCGCATTGCAGATAATCGACCGGATGGGTGGAAGCTGCTTGCCCTCAATCTCAACAAGGAGCGCTCTGCTGAATACCCGAACGTTTTCCAGCGAAGAGAGATCGAGCTTTCTTATAGACACTTGTCCGTTGGGGTGCTGGGCTACAAGTTGACGAAGTTTTGGCGTGTTTGCATCTTTCTCTGAATTGTCTCGGACGGTAAGAACCAGGTTGAAGGATGGGTATGCTTCCAACAGGTACTTGACTGATGGTAAAGCTAGCGAACCGTTCGCGCCGGTGATTAGGACTGTGCCTGCCATGATGCGCGTAGAAACGAGCGGATGAGAGGAGTGTTCTGGATGCGAAAGAGGCTTTGCAAGAGGGCGCGTCGAAGGAGTCTTCGTTGTTCTTATCTACCCCTTGGGCGCGGTTGCTGACAGGCGAATACGCCCCGTCGTATACCTCGATGCCGGCCTACCGTCTCGGAGCCATCAGTATATACGTAGTCGTCCCGGCATGGGATCTCTCTCCCAAATCCAGCAGGCTTAAATGTTCGTGACTGTGTACGTGCAAACAGTCATGGTATCATGTACACTACGAGTGCGGTTCTCTCAACCCTCACAATCGGTGGTGGTGTGGCCCAGGGCATGTGCGTTCGCTAGTCGCGCCGCCCCTCAACGGCACCTTTGTAACTCCATGGCGCGCATCCTTCCACTTCATGCATGGGCCACGGGCTAGGCAACACCTCTGGTCGCGGAGAGTCACCACATGCAAGAGGAGAAATTGAACTGCTCCGCAGACTACATTAGGATGTCGCAAGCAAACTAGAAAAGTCGGTGGTAAGGTAGGCTCCTCGGTGCGCATTTTCCCCCTAGGTTGACGTGGATGTGTCGCATTGCGGCCGACCCCCGAGCACGAAGGATCAAAATGTCTATTTGGCGACAGCAACCGGCTCCACTTTGCTACTCGTTCCCTTTTGGATACGACCCCGCATATCGTACGATCTGAGCAGTGCAATCCAGGGTCTTTCTCCCACAACCAAGTGTAGCCGGTCGCATAGGTTGGTGATTCAGTATGCATACTCACTGATGATACAGCAAGCTATCTAGACATTATATTCATAATAATTCCTACGGATCATTGGAGTCGTTTCTGGCCTGCGAGCGTGGATAGAGGCAGCGTAAATGAATCAAGCGGATTATCCAGGTTCCCCTCTATCCCGAGAGATGACACACGCACGATTGAGACTATAAGAATGCGTTCATGTTCTTCAGCTCCACAAGTCGAGGCTAGTCAAGAGCCAATTCCCACCAACTAAGTTACAGTGATGCTGCTACTTCCACTTGGCAGCAGCGTCCCGTTCGCGAATCCCTCCGTACAGAGAATCATATAGTCGTGACCGCCCAACCTCATCCCAGCCTTGTTCCACGCGTCATAATGCTTTTGCGTAGTGATTGTACCACCAACCCTTTTCTCCGTTCTCACCGACCAGAACTGTGTAAAGGTACGAGTCCCCTCAATAGACGGTTTGTTTACGCGCTGGCTAGTGTATAGATCGTAGGTGCCTTCTTCAAAAGTGAAGTTGCCTTTGCGCGTCCAAGGCTCACCTGGGGCAAGGATATCGTAAGACTCGATGATGTAGTATTCGATGAGGGGATTGCGCGTCCAGCCATAGAGGGCGAGGTAACCGGGGCCCTTGGCTTCGTATGTACCCGAGTATTTGACTGTCCTAGTACGATTCATTAGTACAGTTCTGGAAATCGCCTTGAAGCCGTTGCTGCCTTTACCTCGAACCCCCAGGCTTGAATCCCGTACCAGCGACGAAACCACCACCAGGCTGTCCTGACCAGTTGCACGTGTACTTTCCGCCGCCTTGTTGGCTGCACCGGAACGAGCCACCTCCTTCGGACCAAAAGGAATAGTAGCCACCTTGACGGGCTTCGAGCTGCTTCCCGACTGTTTCATGATTGACAAGTGAGGCAACACCGCTCGGTGCAGTGAGAGCAAGACGCAGACTGCCTAGCACGGCGGCGGCGAAGACCGCAAAAGAGACCATGATGCTGGAGCTGATGAGAAGACAGGACAACGTATCTGGCCACCATTGCCGGCGGTCTGTATCTATAATATACCTACTTTACATGTAGGGGCCTAGTATGGGAGTCTTGATATCAAGTGCGCGTGATTCTTCGCGCCAGTTTCTCATTAATCAGCCATTGTTGCGAGATCGCCTCGGGCTCACTGACAGCAGCGTCTGCCAAGGACTGACCTGCCTCTCCCAGCAAGAAACATACTCTGCCAAGACTGGGGTGCATCTTCGTCAATATGTCCGATACTGCTGTGCCGGCTGTTCACTACCGAGCCAGGGGTGGTGCTTTCGAGCAGCCGTAAACATCAGGCTTCGATTTACCTTGATTAGAACTTGTTATCTGCCGATAGCATTTGGTACGACGATGCCCAGGTGGTCGAAATGACAGGTACCTGTCACCAATCGTAGGTGATGATCGTCGGGTGGACACGTTATTAATCAAGGAAAAGAGCATGTGGGGTATGGTATGCGATGAGGATGTTTCCACAGAAATTTAGCCGGGCGCTTCGATACCGTTCTGACTTCGTCACGGCTCAGAACATAGCAGATCATGAAGCCGGGCAGCTTGAATACAGTGTCGGAGCGATGGCGAAAGGCGCAATGCGGAGACAGGAGACGCGTGCAAGCTTGCTCAAATCGAGTCTAGCGTGTTATCTTAGCTGATCGCCGGGGCACTGGGCACCCGCGAACGTGCTGCAATCTGTGAACACGAACCAGACACGCCGTGCCTGCGACATCCCCGCTCTAAGCCTGGCCACCACATATGAAAAAGACCAGACCTCCATCAACAGGTACCGAGCTAGACTTCCATCTCGTACCCCGGCAGATGATCGAGCCACCCATCCACCTCTTCGTCGACGGAGCTATCAACCGCGCAAGCGTTCATCTCCTCCACAGTCTGAGTCTTCAGCACACCTTGAATACCCGGACTTCCACAATTATGGAACATGCAACTATCGTTCATTACTCGCTGCAAGCTGTCCCCCTTCCACCCAAACACGTAGTCAGCATGAGTACCGTAGCCCTTGCTATCGGAATAACTCCACACAAACGGCTGCGAATCATCGGTTGGCCACATGTCGGCGAAGGCAGTTGTATTCCACATTGTTTCGTATGCTAGCTGAGGCATCTTGATGGGATGCGATGCAGGACACGGGTCTGCCGGGCGGAAGCCGCCTCGTGTCGTCGAGAACATGTGGGATTGATCTAAAGATTGGTGTACGAAGTCAGTTTTTATCTCACAGACAGTTCGCACAGGGAGATTACTGACGGTCGGGAGAGTCAAGGTCGACTCCGTTCCAGCAAGAGGGAAAATGGCTACACATGAAAGACGCAATTAGTAGGTTTCGTGGAAAAAGGAATGAGTTTCTCTTGGGAAAATACGCGCTGGCGGCAAGTGCGTAACACTTGTTTGCAGGAGCATGCTAACATCGCAGGGAGACTTACTGCCATACTGTCAGTACCCTGATCATAATGTCTGCTTAGGATCATTGCTTACCTGGATCGCCATGATACCGGCAGGGCAGGGCTCTTTCGGGAAGTCAGGAGTCTCATAACCTCTAGTGAGGATGGTTTGCAAGCACGTGTATGCCAGGCCCTTCTTTGTGCCGTTGAGTGTGTTCGTTGACGGGTTACCAACGGTCATGCGGAAGCCCTTGACCCAATTAATCGCTTGTTCCACCGAGGGCCTGGATAGCATCACTCACCGGCGGAAAGGCTCTCACGGGATGGTCGAGGTCTGAGCTTTCGAAGTCTTTCTGGGTGTAGTATACCGTCATACCTCCCTTGATGTGGTCCGCATCTTGACCATCGAATCCTGATAAGGTTTAGCCTTTCAATGTGCTCCAGTGTAGGCGATGTCGTCGGAATACCTAGCTGAGCGTTTGGATAGATTGGAACGCGTTTGTATGAGCCGTTTTGGTGTTTGAAGTACATCGCCGCGGTCCAGTAGTTGGAAAAGTCTACATTCAATGTCAGCGATTGTAAAGAAACTGGAGTGAGGAACGCATGACGTACCTTCAGTGTATGCGCATGTTGTGCAGCTGCCCTGTTCCCCAATATCACCGGCCATCGTAGCGTTGAAAGCATTACCGCCTGCGGAAACGTCAATGAGAGAACCAGAGGCTGTATCGTAAGTCCAACCTACCGACGATCTGGTGTACCTTTGCAGTTGTGTTAGTATATGGTCACCACTACGATCATAACACTAACATGAGACGAGGGTACACGACCAGGCTCGACTAACGGGTCCAGGCGCTGGATAGAAACACTGCTGCAACCAAAGCGGATCGCAGCTTGCACGGCGACAACTTGGAAAAGGAGCAAATGTAACTTCATGTTGTTGTATATATCTGTGTCTGATCTGGTAATTAGAATGTCTCAGTGTTGATGTACTGCGATGGGAATGGTTCGTAGTGGGTTTTGGAGGAGTATGTCCCACCGAGACAGATACATGCCGCTCTAGAAAATCCGTTGAGAACTTCTCGCATCGATGTATCCGATTCGCAGATGACAATGGTTCCAGCGCGCGACTGCCGGTGGGCAGCGCCAAGTCGTTGATGTTGCTCTTCATATGCGCCGTCCTGTCGGGAAGGTGAATGTGGGGCATATTGATGGGATGATGCGACTGACTCTTTATCCCCGATATGTTGCCCAGACTGTTGGATTTATAGCAATCCATGTAAGGACAGTTGTTCAATCATCCGAAACGGTGAAAGGGAATCGGAACGGGAGTGACAATCGAATGGAGAGGTGACGTCAATGTGAACAGTATCTTGCCCGATAGCACCAGGAGTCTAATGCATGCTCGGAGCGATGCGCAGATCTCAAGATCTCAGTTAGTCAAGGGCTGTCGGGCGTTGAAGAATACATGGGCTAGGAAAGAGTTTCAAGAGCAAAGGGAGGCATTTCATAGGTATTATGACAACACACGTGTTAATTTGTGACACTCTTTTATCGTGATGTATTCGGCCTGCGCTTTCAGAACTACAAGTTTACATGATTGACATAGTTCGGAGCCTTCAGTTGTTCAGCTCTCGAGCCAGAGCGGCAATGCGCATTTGCTCCTTATGCTGCCTCCTGAGGTACCTTTGTTTCCTCAGGGCTACGATGCCTTGAATCCATCGCTTCGTCCTCTCACTGGGCGCACGGTTGACCCCTTGATTCCGCACCTCCTCCATTTCCAGCTCACAGTTGCCTGCGAGTAGATATTTCTCTTTGACAGGTTCAGAGTTACCTCCGAATGTCTTCTCCGCCTCCAATATCTGAGAGTTACGTCCCAGAACCGGCTTCTCTTTCTCCTTCTCTTGCACAGGCTGGGGCTTGCCTCCGTCGGCCAGACCAAGCAAGTCTCCCACCTGCTGCGCTGTTCCTTCCCCGAGGTTGGTAAAGGGTGCATAGCCAGGGAAGTGTGCGGCGATCTTCCTCATGTTAGCCTCCATGTTCTGGACCCTGATTTCCTGCCTGGCAACACACGCCAGCTCATCTTCATCGAGGTCATCACAAGCATAGGCTTGAGCCAGTAGTTCCATGTTGAACTTTCGTTTTCCGTAATTCTCATCGAAATCTATGAAGAGTTAGCAAAGCTACTGTAAGGTGGGCATGGATTACTTACCCTCTATGGTCTCAGATGAAGGCATGAGTGCCCACCTCATCGCATCCCGGCGGCTGCGTTCGCCCGACATCATAGTGGACGCGAGTGTCAATAGCAGAGCGGAAAGTGTCTTTGGTGGGTGAGTGCTCTGAGCGAGAGAGTCGATATTGCTGTTGATGTTGTTGACAAACGCTCGAGTTAAGTGGGTCTCGACTAGCGCACAATGCGAAGGGAAGGAGCCCTGGAGCCTGGCGAGATGAGAAGAACGCCAGATATTTGATGAAATAGTTGATGGCTTCGATGTTTCGTGTAAGCTATGTGTGTTGAATGAAGGGGATGGGCGCGTTGCTACGAGGCTTTCGGTCTAGTCAGGAAAGAACTTGCGCGCGAGAATCATATTGAAGAGGATATTAGGAAGGAGAATTGAGAACCAGCGAAATTACTGATGGACAAATCTTATCGTGGGGAGTGGACGAGGGAGCGTGAGTTAAGTTGGAACATAAGCGAAAAGGGAGATTTTGTTCGGTTGCTGGAATGGTCGACAGCCAGCGAGAAGTCCTCTCGAACCTGCAATGATGGTCTACTTTAGAAAAACTGCGTAGATATACGTGCGATAGCGCATGACAGAGTCCAAAACCCTAGCTGCATCCAAAATTGTTCGGTATCTGCCAGAATGCAAGATGTTGCAAACCGATTGTCAAAGTCGTGGAGATTCGATCACGAAGCGATCTCAGAACCAAGCCACAGCTTCCTCGTGGCCACGCTTTTCCCTCCAGTCCTTCAGTTTGTGATTGACCACCCAAGCCGGTAGTGGCGTTCTCCAATCATCCACATCATACGGCTCGGCCCACAGCCGTCCATCAATATCTTCAGGCTTCCAAAGATGAGACGTGTAGTCTACTCCAGCCTTGCTGAACAAGTAGCAGCCATATTTTAGACACCTGTGATGACGCCGCTGACGTCGCTGACTCCGATGCTCATCTTCGGAAATCGGTTCCTGCTCGAGACGGTACCCTTCGACCCGCTGTACGAGCTGCAACGTGTCTAGACAGGGCGGTGGCACGAGCATATATGGAGACATATCAAACCGTGCAAAGGTGTTGTTGTGATGTTGAAGTAGGGTTTGGGAGCGGTATTGATAGTCGATTCGGATGGTTGCTAGAAATGGAGCTTTCTGTGCCAGCACAGAGACAAAACGCCGCGTAGTGTTCCACGTCCACTCATTCAGGTCTTCATGGCTGTTGGGGACGAGAATCGCGACGTGCCTGATGTAATGGCTGAAAAGTGTGTCTAAAGGTAGCGTGCGACGCTTGCGACTGGGTGGTGATTGATGCGGTGCATCTACAGGGCAGGGTCGTAGGCGGTCCCGATCGCAGATTGTGACGAAGACTCCTTGTTTCTCAGTGATTTCAAGAGACTCTTCTCGCAGACGAGGATGAGCATGAAGTAGCGCGAGAGTCGGTGCGTTGTGGACGCGGTACAGGAGACAGAATGTAGGGAAAAGACTGGTTTCACACCAGTCAGATTCTCCTTCAGCTTGCAGGTACGAATATATCAAATCGCGCAATTCTCGAGGAAGAGTAAGGAGGGTGGAGGGTTGGGGTGCAGAGTCAGGCATGGTGATGATGGAGTACAAGTGGTGACAGCTGCGCTCGGTGGTGTCGAAGTTGTTTCAACGTGCAGGCCTAGTATGATGCTATCGGAGCTTACCGAACCTTGCACGTACCTTGGAAGTACCTAGGTAGTGGCATCGTGTGCGACTCGCAACGCAGGATCGCTGGCACTGTTGAGCCGTTGGGCCGCTCGGACCGTCAAGCTCGGTATACCTCGGCAGGCCAAGACGGCAATGGCGGCAACAAGTTGAACTCCTTGGCGCAAGTTCTCTATCACCCGGTCCGGAAAAATGGCCGAACTCCCAAAGCTACACCTTTCGTAGGCCTATATCTCTTTACACCCTTATTGATTTGTTTTATTCTTGCAATAGAAGATAAAGAGAATTATATGCTCTATTTTTCTAGCCATTAAGCTTCTTTTATTCTCTTATAGTTGTAGAGTAAGAAGAGCGCAAAGAAAGGTAGAGTTTCTTGTTCTACCTAAAGCAGGCCTGTTTTAGTAGTGTAGAGTCCAGCCATTTTTCTAGACTGGGTGCCTATGTAGAAAGAAAAAAGCTCGGCAGTACTGTTGATACATGGGATAAACGGCATTTAAGAATACTCCACCCGGACACCGTCGGAAGTCGCGCGGATACAAGACCGACTGCTGCCTGGGAAAGGCGCAACATAGAAGAAACTCGCGCTCCAGTGTTCCTAGTCTCCCCAACATGGCGAGCGACGATCCATCTCTTTACCCTTCAGTGGCACTCGGTCGATTACGCATCCCAGGGCCAGCAATCCCAATCATCCTAGTTGGCTCCCCTTTCTTCGTGCGACGACAAACTTCACGACAAAAGAAAGACCTTCAAAATTTACTGGTGGTCATACACCTTTTGCTATACATCTACAACCTCACGGAAACTTTTGGCAAGAAAGAGAAAGAGGGTGAAGGTGACAACACATTGCCATTACTGGAACACCTCGTTCTGGCCTTCGGAGAACCTGCCTTACGGGAGGGACAGACATCTGTTTGGCCATACATATCGGTTGCCGTGGGATGGATCTTGTCTCGAGCGCTTGCTCACCCTCAGAGGGTGTGGATCTCTATCGTGCTATCTCTTCCCAGTGCTCTGAGGATGAGCAAGCAAGTCAATGTTGGAGTTAACTTGAGTGCACTTTCACTGCTCACCAGAATGACTTTCGTGGTATCGGGCTCTGAACATGGGCTCTCAATGGCGAATGTTGCTGGTGTTGCCCTCCCTGTGGCGCTGGCAAGACTCTGCTATCCGCTGTTCCTCAGGAAGCTTTGTCGAGCACTTCAAGTCCGGCCTCGACGCGTGCTAGAAGATAGCATTGGAGAACAATGTTTGAAGTGCATCCAGGCGCCATTCGCAGTATTCACTGTCGCTGGTGCGGGGTGGATAATAAGCAGCTTCGTCTTCTCCTGTTTCCCATGGCGAAGGCTGTTCAATGAGGAGGCGTCCAGGGCTCCATCGTGGACTGGGCTCTCGTTTGCTGGAGGGGTTGTGTTCCTTCCTCTTTTCTCGATCGTAAAGTTCATGAGGGTTCGAATTATAGGGAGGGAACCTGCAGCTGACTTGGGCGCCTTTGTGCAGTATCAGTTGGGAGACTGCGTGGCAGCGACGTGGTGGGTGAGCGTTGCATATATCTTGCTGTGGCTGGGGTCGGAAGCGCTCTCATGGTGCGGCAAAATGTAATCCTAACTTATTAAGATAATTAAGCTGGTAGCTTTATTAGTATTTAGATAGAAGAAAATTTAATCTCTACAAAGTGTGACACAAACTAAGGCTTAAGGCCGTCGCTTTAACTAGTATAATGCTATTAGAGAGCTTGCCGAACCTTGCACGTGCCTTGGGAGTGGTGGCATCGTGTGCGACTTGCAACGCAGGATCGAGTGGTGTTCATGCGACGATGGAAATAGTAACTGAACGCTTCATTACATAGATGGGTATAAAGCTAAATCCGATGCGCAGCCTTACATGCTAGCATCACGCTGTCCTTGCGACTCTAATCGCGCCTGCGACTCCCACTCCTACTATGTGTCCTACTCCGTGACCGGCTCCGCTCGCCTGGGCTGCGACTCCTCTCGCGATCACGACTATCGTAGCTTCGACTTCGACTTCTGCTGCGGCTGCGACTACGACTGCGACTGCGACTGTCGTAGCTCCGACTCCTGCTCCTGCTGTCATAGCTCCTGCTTCTGTAGCTCCGCACACTCCCATCGCTCCTTCTGTCTAGTTCCTCATCCAGCTCATCGATTTCGTCACCCAACGGACTCTCCCTCGGCTCTAACATATCCAAGTCCTCCAAGTTCGCCCGCGACGGCAACTTCCACAGACTCGTCGCGCACATGCGGTCTTTTGTGAGGAGGTCATCGATGAACTGATCGACGTACGTGAGGGTAAAGGCATCCTTGAGGCGTCGTTTTATCTTGCGGTAATCGGTGAGGAGGGGTTCGAGGGTTTTGTAAATTTCGACGGGCTCCCAGGCAAGGCGAATGTAGAAGGCAGCGAGGCACCGCAGGTATTTGAAGTCGCCGAGTTTGCCTGCAGCGTTTAGATCGAGCGCCTTCTTGGTTGTGTCTTCGTCCTCGGATGTGTGGCCGTTTTCCTCCTTCTTGGCCTCGCCATCCGGTGATCCATCTTCCTCGTCGTCGCGAAAGTTGAGGTATTCAAGGATAATTTCCTTGTCCGGAACTAGCTGCAGCATCTTGAATGCTAGACACAAGAATGGTGTAGGCTTGCCCGTAATGCCAGTCGTGCCGCCGATAAACTTGAGGTCGGCCGCGCGGTCGCACAAGGTCGCAGCGTTCAGACCGAAACATTGCTCTTTCCAGTAGTAGGACTCGGTGATGCGCTCGCGTACACCCTTTTCGAAGAGCAGCGCCGGGTTCTGCCCTCTGATGAGGGCTCCGCGATAGCCTCGGTCGTCGAGGAGCGCGCTGGCGTCTGCGCGGTCGAACTGCGGTTTGGCCATGTGGGGATGCCGAACAGTCGTTTCGTGGCTAGTTTGAGGTCGAATGGCCCTTGGATATCTTCGGAAATGCGCGTGCAGTATTGTGCGGTTTAGTGGTTTGGTAGTTCGATGGTGCTGCGGAGGAAGCTCGCGTTGATGGTTGCGATAATTTGAGCCGGGGTGCTGCCAGCAATCGATAGTTGCCTGCTCAACACCAGCGATCAACATGCAGCCCTACGGAATCTAGATCCACGGGGCACGTCACACCCGCCCACTGCATGCGCTCTCCTGCACGAACTACTCTTGCCATTCTACATGCACACTTTTGAACCATCATAGCATTCTTATACCCTTCGCATCCAGCGTTTACTTGTAGTTATGGGGAGACTTCTCCTTACTTCGAGCCAGGTCTCTGTCATCCTGTCGGCAGCCATTGGTACGCATGGCCCACGACGGGCACGCACTCGCATTCGCTGACAGCCGCCGGTAGTTCTTCTCTTCACACTCGCCCTCTTCCTCTCGGGCTGGGTATTACAACAACGATACGTGCATTCTCTACAAGCCGCCATAAAGCCCCGATTACCCAAGCCTCTGCCCCCGCCCAAGCCGATAGAACCTCCGACATTGGACGTAAAATGGGCAAGACCGATGGGCGGCCGTCCGGAGGTGGACGAGACATATGCGCAGTATATTGCGGCGCAGACGATGGACTGGAGCCGCCTGGGCTATGTGCAGGTGGTGAGAGAGCATGTGGAACTTTGCAGTGCCGTGATGCTGCTGTCTGATCTACACAAGATGAAGAGCCCGGCCAAAAGGATACTGATGTTTCCCAAACTGTGGCTGGTAGAATCTGAAGACGACAAATACGGCCCGCAAATGTCGACTACACGGCGACTGCTGCGAACGGCGGCGAGGCGGTATGGCGTCACTTTGATGCCCATGGAGCCTATTGTGGAAGGCGCAGACGGTGAGTGCTGAGCCCAGGAAGCTGCCCGCTGCAGTGACTAACAGAGCCAGACACACTGCCCTCTTCCTACTCACTAGCAAGTCTGTACTCACTGGTAGACTACGAGCGGCTACTCTATCTCCAAGGTCCGGGCGTGCTGCTCGACGCATCGGCTCTGGACTCACTGTTGGCTTTCTCCAAGTCAGAGCCCATGGCAGCGTACCCCGCCACGCCAGAACGAACCGACATGTCGACATCACTCTTGATGATACACCCGTCACAACAGAGCTACAACCAGCTGAGGACAATGCGCACGACAAATCCGACGTCGGACCTCAACATGTTCCGCAAGACATTCACGGTGCCGGACTCATTGATCTCGGAGTGGTCGCTGTCAATGGGCAACGTGGTCTACGAATCGCAGAACCTGCGCAATGTCGTCGACGACTTCAACGCGACGGCATTCGAGCAGGCGACGACGTTCGTGAGGCTGTCGGATCCCGAGATACCAGGACCGGAGTACGACATTCCTTTTTCTGAACGCGCCAAGCTGCGGCCTCAGAACGCACAGGCGCAAGAGGCGTGGAGCAAGCTGTACGAGAGATTCCGGCAACGGCGCATGGAAGTGTGCGGCCTTGACCTGGAGACGTACCAGCCGATCGTGGTGTCTGGTGGGGCCGATGAAACCCATGCGGTGGCTGATGAGCTGTGAAACGGCCAGGTTTTCTTTTGACGATGCAACGTGTGCCATTTGGGCGCTTTCGAGTCATGTTTGCGCAATAGTCTTTTGGGGTGTTTGTAGATGGGCCGGCGTTGGGTATAATCATGTATGTGTATTGGCGCGCATTGCTAGGCGTTTACGGGTTCGCGACGAAGCGATTCGCAGTATAGGCAGGCTGGGTATAGCAGCCGGGACGACCACGCATGGTACGCATGACGCAACAACCAGCGATGCTTCGCGTGCAGCCCGGGCGGGCATGACACGATGTAATGAAGGGATGAAGACATTGACACGTTAGTTTGGATGGATGCATGCCATTGACTGCGGGCGCAAACACGGTGCCAGTGCAGGCGCGTGAAACATGGCTCTTTGATGAGCCGCAGGCGTCATGTTGTTGCCAATGCCGCCCGCGCGTGGTAGCTGCGACGCTTCTTCCCCGCGAGCGAGCGTCTACTGTCTAGCCCAACCTCCACCCATCACCTAGCCCAAAGCCTGCCTCGCCCGCCCACGCCGCCGACACTCCTCGCTGCTCTGCTGATGCCCGCGCACCTGCACACCCACTGCCCCTGAGCGCATCGCCTGCTGCCGTCTGCGCCGCGCCCCCGTCCCGAGCTCCCCGCGCATTCCTGGCCCCAGTGCTTGAGATCGCCCGAACTGCGTCGAGGAACAGGCAGGGCCGCGCCGCCGCACTCGTCGCGCCGCCCCTCCAATGCCTACCCTGGGCTTCCTCAAGAAGAAGCGGACCAAGGACTCGAACGGCTCCAAGGACCTCGATTCGCCGACGTCGCCCGTCAAGGACGCCCACTCGCCCATCACGCCCACGACGTCGCGCAAGTCGGGCTCCTTCCACCTGCACAAGACCAAGACCAACGAGTCGCTGACCAACACGGCGAGCAACACCAGCTCCACGGCCCCGGCCGCGCCTGCCGCCCCCTCCAAGCCGTCCGACTCGATGAACCCCGCCTACGCCCACCAGCAGCAACACCAGCCGCCGACGCCCTCGCACAATGTCCCCAGCATACAGAACCTGATACACCCCAGCAACACGCCTGCCCACGCCGCCGCTCCTAAGCATGCCGGCGCCGTCCAGTTCCAGACGCAGCCCCTCAACCAGGCGCGCGTCACCAAGGGCAAATACTCGCTGACCGACTTCACCATCCAGCGCACCCTCGGCACCGGCAGCTTCGGCCGCGTCCACCTTGTCCAGTCCAAGCACAACCAGCGCTTCTATGCCGTCAAGGTGCTGAAGAAGGCCCAGGTCGTCAAGATGAAGCAGGTCGAGCACACCAACGACGAGCGCCGCATGCTGCAGCAGGTCAAGCACCCCTTCCTCATCACCCTGTGGGGCACCTTCCAGGACTCCAAGAACCTCTACATGGTCATGGACTTTGTCGAAGGAGGCGAGCTGTTTAGTCTGCTGCGAAAGTCTCAGGTATGTCGCATCCGTGCCTGGCATCATGTATCTGATACTAATTCCTCCAGCGCTTCCCCAACCCCGTCGCCAAGTTCTATGCCGCAGAGGTTACGCTCGCACTCGACTACCTGCACTCGCATAACATCATCTACCGCGACCTGAAACCCGAGAACCTGCTGCTGGATCGCCATGGCCATCTCAAGATCACCGATTTTGGCTTCGCGAAAGAGGTCCCCGACATCACATGGACGCTGTGCGGTACGCCTGACTACCTGGCGCCAGAGGTCGTCGCGTCAAAAGGCTACAACAAGTCCGTCGACTGGTAAGTAGCAATGTCTCCCCCGGCTCGAGTCGCACTAACAACGCCAGGTGGTCACTTGGCATCCTCATCTTCGAAATGCTCTGCGGCTTCACTCCCTTCTGGGACGGTGGCTCCCCCATGAAGATCTACGAAAACATCCTCAAGTCGAGAGTCAAGTACCCACCATACATCCACCCTGACGCCCACGACCTGCTGCAGAAGCTCATCACACCCGACCTCACCAAGCGACTGGGCAACTTGCACGGCGGCAGCAAGGACGTTATGAACCACCCCTGGTTCGCCGAAGTAACGTGGGACCGACTACAAAAGAAGGACATTGATGCACCTTACGTGCCACCTGTGCGAGCTGGCGTTGGCGATGCCAGCCAATTCGATAAGTATCCGGAGGAGACGGAGGCATACGGTCAGGCAGGGGATGACCCGTGCGTGCAGAGTCCTCCTTATACTGTAGACCACATTCTGACGTGTCCGAATAGCCACGGGCACCTATTTCCCGACTTCTAAACCCGTAATCGAAAAGAGATACGATATGCCTCTCCTTCAGAATCCAACTAGGTACGGCGATCCTGGTCTAGTACCCGTCGAAAGTCCGCGCCATTCGTCCTACCGTACTTCTCTGACCTTGACCCTCTCCGTGCTCTATCTTCGCGCGATGTTGATGCGCGTGGAATCCCTTATCGTCTATTATTACTCCTATCTCTTGAATGCTGGGTGCCATTGGATATGGTTCGGTGTACATTGTTGGGCATGAATGACGGTGCATGATTGTTAAACAGTAACCGCCCGATCGAGCGCGGTAATTGAATTAATAATACGGAAACCTTGGCTGGCTCTCCACCCTGAACTTTCTGTCTTGCTATGAGAGATGATGCCTGTACTAAAACTTAGAAACGACGAGCATTGCAAGACTTGAGTCGAGACTCATCCTCGTTTGGTAGCTATCGATTCCTTGTGCCGTACTTTTGTGCGCATCTCAGATTAGTGCCATCCACGCCTCGCTCCATGCAGTGCCCATCTGAAATGATCTGAGACTGTTGTATACCTACTGCTTCAGGAAACATTGATTATCCATCGAACGATGCGAAAGTCGAGGTGAAACTGTTCAGCTCGCCTGCCATGAATACTGACCAAGTTGCTCAAAGTCTGTGCCTCTATTACTCCAAAATTGCTGCAATCAACACTTGAGCGCAGATTACCTGGTTGAGAAGCATCCATCTGGCAAACCTCACCTCAATTATGAGTGAGGTGAACATGCGTAGAAAGCCGAGGACCAAGATGGTAGTGGGTGAGGATCCTCGCGATACAGAAACACACGGGCGAGCAAGGGCTGCCCAGATTTTACAGTCCACAAGGATACGACATACGACAGGAAGAAGCATTTCCCATTCCTTAGATACATCTTGGCCGCATCATAAGAAAATGAGAGGCGTAAGAGGTCCGCGGACTCATTGACTGCGTCACGGCCGTGCATAGCTTGGAAGCGTGGCGGCTTGGTGACTGAACTTGTGGGTGACTATTGCGTAGGGCATGTCTTTGTCGGCACAAAAGCATCAGCCATCAACTTTCAAATCACTCTACCATTCATGAATCCTTGAAAACATCGAGAAGTTATTCGCTG